ACAAACAGTGCTCGCTTCGGCAGCACATATACTAAAATTGGAACGATACAGAGAAGATTAGCATGGCCCCTGCGCAAGGATGACATGCAAATTCGTGAAGCGTTCCATATTTTTAAATGGGCAGCAAACATGAATAGACACTTCTCTAAAGAAGACATCCGGATGGCCAACAGGCACATGAAAAGATGTTCAGCGTCGCTCCTCATCAGGGAAATACAAATCAAAACCACACTCAGGTATCACCTCACGCCAGTCAGAGTGGCCAAAATGAACAAATCAGGAGACTATAGATGCTGGAGAGGATGTGGAGAAACGGGAACCCTCTTGCACTGTTGGTGGGAATGCAAATTGGTGCAGCCGCTCTGGAAAGCAGTGTGGAGGTTCCTCAGAAAATTAAAAATAGACCTACCCTATGACCCAGCAATAGCACTGCTAGGAATTTATCCAAGGGACACAGGAGTACTGATGCATAGGGGCACTTGTACCCCAATGTTCATAGCAGCACTCTCAACAATAGCCAAATTATGGAAAGAGCCTAAATGTCCATCAACTGATGAATGGATAAAGAAATTGTGGTTTATATACACAATGGAGTACTACGTGGCAATGAGAAAGAATGAAATATGGCCCTTTGTAGCAACGTGGATGGAACTGGAGAGTGTGATGCTAAATGAAATAAGCCATACAGAGAAAGACAGATACCATATGGTTTCACTCTTATGTGGATCCTGAGAAACTTAACAGGAACCCATGGGGGAGGGGAAGGAAAAAAAAAAAAAGAGGTTAGAGTGGGAGAGAGCCAAAGCATAAGAGACTGTTGAGAACTGAGAACAAACTAAGGGTTGATGGGGGGTGGGAGGGAGGAGAGGGTGGGTGATGGGTATTGAGGAGGGCACCTTTTGGGATGAGCACTGGGTGTTGTATGGAAACCAATTTGACAATAAATTTCATATATAAATAAAATAAATAAATAAATAAATAAATAAATAAATAAAACAATGAACTTAAAACAGAAAAAAAAAACAAACAGGTTAAAGGAAAAAAAAACACAGAAAAACATATAACATCAGTATTCATTAACAAAATACAAAGTAAAACACAGTGAGATACCTCTATTCCTTTCAATGGCTAAAGTTAAAAACCATACTCAATGTTGGTGAGGACGTAGGGGAACTGGAGCTCTCACTTTCCTGGAGGGCATGTAAAATGATACAGCCACTTTGGAAAACAGTTGAATAGTCTTTTAGAAAATGAAACACATGTCTACTATAAAGTCCAGCCATTCACCCCCAGGTATTTATTTACCCAAGAGAAAAGAAAGTGTATGTCCATAGAAAGACCTGTTACAGATATTCATAGCAACGGTATCTGTAATAGCCCCAAACTGGAAATTACCCACATGTTCATCAACCGGTGCCAAGTAGGTGGGCTGGGCAGGGTGGGGGTGGGGGGTAGCGCTAAACACCGAAAATGGAAATGACTCACACTGGCAACTGGATGAATGAATGCCCAAGAAAGACCTCTGTGCTAAGGGTGCTATGCCCACATGTACCTGTAACAATGCTTATTGATTGGCCATTTTCAAGGAAGATTTCACATCAGGTTTAAGTACTTGAAAATGTTTTAAAAAATTCTCTTAAAACCCTGGGATTTAGCTATCAAGAGATAATAAATTCCACCTACACTCTGATTATTATAGCATCTGTCCTTCTAATGGCACACCTGTCCACCAGGAACTTGGAAGTAACACATCCTATAGTATATGATGTTATGTATTTGAGAAAGAAACCTCATTTCAAATCCAAATGCAGGGAGCCTGGTGGCTCAGTCAGTTAAGTGTCCAACTCCCACTCAAGGTCATGATCTCATTGTTCATGGGTTTGAGTCCTGTGTTGGGCTCTGCGCTGACAGCTCAGAGCCTGGAGCCTGCTTTGAATTCTGTGTCTCCTTCTTTCTCTGCCCCTCCCCCATTCTCACTCTGTTTCTGTCTCTCAAAAATAAATAAATGTTAAAAAAAATTGAAAAAAAATCCTAATGCAACTTTCAAATATACAATACAGTATATTATTAACTACGGTCACCATGTTGTACATCGCATCATGCTAAGAGAGTAGATCTTCAAAGTTCCCATCATAAGAAAAAAAATTTATAACTACGTGCTGCTGGTGCTAATTATTGTGGCATTATTATTACATTAGTTATGGTTATTATTGTGCAATCATATAAACAAAAAAATTTCAGATACAATTCAGGAGAGTATCCAAACTAAAAAAAAAAAGTTGGGGCGCCTGGGTGGCGCAGTCGGTTAAGCGTCCGACTTCAGCCAGGTCACGATCTCGCGGTCCGTGAGTTCGAGCCCCACGTCAGGCTCTGGGCTGATGGCTCAGAGCCTGGAGCCTGTTTCCGATTCTGTGTCTCCCTCCCTCTCTGCCCCTCCCCCGTTCATGCTCTGTCTCTCTCTGTCCCAAAAATAAAAATAAACGTTGAAAAAAAATATATATAAAAAAAAAGTTTTTAAAGAGAGGCATCCATCTTTTAATAACTAGACTGCCATATATGTTAGCAAAGTTTCTGGAAATACTGATTCTTCTCATTTTCTTATAACTAGAAGGAACTGTTTCATTAACTGACAATATTAATATTAATAGCTAATCTTCATTGTGATAGATACAGTGCTGGGCTTTACTTACTTGATGTCATTTTCTAGATGAGAAAATGGAGTCTTAATGAAATAGCTGGTCCAAACCTACTCAGTAGTCTTCACGGCCAGAATGGGAACCCAGGCCTGCCCATGGCAGTCCTCACACTTTATCATTATGTTGAACTTCAGAAAAATGATACACATTGATACTAATCACACTGGCAATGCTAGGGGCAGCAGTACTCAAAAATGAGGGCCTGAAGGTCCCCACTTATCCTATCTATTAAAAATGTGATGGGGAGGGGCGCCTGGGTGGCTCAGTCGGTTAAGCGTCTGACTTCAGCTCACATCATGATCTCGTGGTCTGTGAGCTCAAGCCCCACATCGGGTTCTGTGCTGACCAGGCTCTGTGCTGACAGCTCAGAGCCTGGAGCCTGCTTCAGATTCTGTGTCTCCCTCTCTGTCCCCACCTCCCCCCCCTTTCTCTCTCAAATAAATAAACATTAAAAAGAAATTCTTAAAAAAGTGATGGGGCTGGGGTACCTGGGTGGCTCAGTGGGTTAAGTGTTTGACCCTTGCTCAGGTCATGATCTCACAGTTTGTGAGTTCAAGCCCCATGTCGGGCTCTGCACTGTGTCAGTGTGGAGCCTGCTTGGAATTCTCTCTCTCCCTCTCTCTGTGTCCCTACTCCACTTGTTCTCTCTCTCTCTCTCTCTCTCTCTCTCTCTCAAAATAGCTAAATAAAAAACTTTTTAAAAATGTGATGGGGCCAGGACAGAGGAAATGCGACACTGCTTGTCCCCTGATGATGTTACTGTGGCCCCCAAAAGAAGTATTAAAATAGGGCAGCTCTGTTGGCCCTTTGGCCGTTGGACGTGCTGCTTAAGCTGTGAGTGGGCCTCTGCCTCCGTGGACACTGACTGCTCGATCTTCACCCAGAGACTCTGGGGAGGAGGCAAGGTGGGCTCGACTCCATCGCAGCCTTGTATAGTCATGGGAGTGTAGTGGTTTCTTTTTCTACTTCACGCAGTCCAGGCTCTGTGGAGGCACAGTGGGGCCAGCCTAGGCTTGCAGATGGGGCAAAGGGGCCGACAGCCAGGTTCCCGCTCTACGTTACGCAGAGCAGCTCCACTTTCAAGGTTCTATGGAAGACATCACTTAAAATGTTTCAGTGGTGAAAACACATTTGAAAACCACCAGCCTGATGGGACACGACATGGCAGAGTGGTAAAGACCGTGGCTTTTGAGCTTGACAATGCAGGTTTGAGTCCAGGTTCTATCATTTCTGGACCATGTGCCTCACGGAGCAAATGAACCAACTTGCCGAACCTCAAATACATCCTGGCCCAGAATAAGCATCAGGGAACGGTAGTTTTTTTTTGTTTTTTTTTTTTTAAGGTTCGTTTATTTATTTTGAGAGAGAGAAAGAATATGAGCAGAAGAGGGGCAGAGAGAGAGGGAGAGAGAGAATCCCAAGCAGGCTCCATGCTGTCAGCACAGAGCCCAATGCAGGGCTTGAACCCATAAACCGTGAGATTATGACCTGAACCACCACCAAGAGTTTCACGCTTAACCTACTGAGCCCCCCCAGGTGCCCCAGTAAAGTAGTTTTCAAACTCTGGGCTAGGGTGGTGCTGATAGGAGCAGTACAAGTAAGACAAAACCTTAAAACTAAGGAGGTAAAGAGTTGAGTTGGGGCTGCCCCCCACTGTATAATTGAAGTAATAAGTTAAAATAAGATTGCATTAAGGCATATTGATTTTCGCTTTTAAATCAGTCTGTGCTTTTCATAGATGTGTATAAACATATACATACATGCATCTATTTTTTCATATACATAAAAATACAAAGTGATTAAAAATGAAAATCAAATGCCTTAGTGAAATCTTTTGCTATATCAGGACAGATTCAACTATATTAAACATTTTTTTCATATAATAATTTTCAGACCACTGGAAGCTAGGTCAACACCTATAGAGAAAGATAAAATGAAAATAGTCTCCCCCTTTCTTTCTTTTTTGTTTTTAAATGTTTATTTATTTTTCAGAGAGAGAGAGAGAGAGAAAGAGAGAGCGCAAGGGGCAGAAAGAGAGAGAGACAGAGGATACGAAGCAGGCTCTGCACTGCCAGCAGAGAGCCAGATGCGGGGCTCAAACTCACGAACTTGGAGTTCATGACCTGAGCCAAGGTTGGACGCTGAACCAACTGAACCACCAAGGCGCCCATTCTTTCTTTCCTTTCACTGCACTGCAGTGAAAATCTCAAGCATCAGCTAACTCTCTGGCCACATCATACTCATGCCATCTATGCACATAGGGACTTTTAGTCCGGGACAACAGCAGCACAGAAGTCAATGGCGTGAGCTCTAAGGGATGCTTCCCCACATTTTTAATTGTGAAACATGGCCTGTCTTCACTTGGAGCCTCTTCCTGAGAATCCCAGAGTTCAGAAGTTCAGCTTCTGACAATGTAACGCTCGTTTTAGTCTGCTGCTAATGGAAGGGAGTGCAAATGCACCCTATTTGGAATCGCTGCAAAGGAAAGAGAAAATGTGTCATTCAGTCCGTTGTGAGGAGCACTGGGTGGTCAAACATTGCAAATGCTTTGGAAAAGGATGGCGTGAAAGAGTCCTGAAAAGTGCCTCTGTGAGATCCAAGGTTATTCCAGCTCCATAGCAAAAGAACAAACTATTGTAAGTGCATAAAAAAAAAATTGAGAGCAATATGAGTCAAAAGAAAGTCCCTTAGGTCAGTTTCTCTGCCAGTTAGAGGGCCTTCCCATCCCCCTCAATCACTACATCTAAACGTCCCAAAACTCAACAAAACAAAGCAAAAGTGCTCCTGCTACCTGCTATCACCTTTTAGGATGTTTACTTGATATGTCTCTTCTCTTCCTCTTGGCATGAAGGCTGTTGGTATTTTGGATCACAATTAGGCAATGTGATGTTTTGACAAAACCCTCTGATGGCAGGAAACTCTGTTAGCATTTTGATAGAGTGAGTCAGGCAGCAACTGAGTGATAAGAGCACCACCGGCTCGATGCTCTAAAATGTGATGGAGGGGCGCCTGGGTGGCTCAGTCAGTTAAGCATTGGACTTAGGCTCAGGTCATGATCTCATGGTTTGTGAGTTCAAGCCCTGTGTTAAGTTCTGTGCTGACAGCTGAGAGCCTTGACCCTGCTTTGGTTTCTGTGTTTCCCTCTCTTTCTGTCCCTCCCCTGCTCATGCTCTGTCTCTCTCTCTCTCTCTCAAAAAAAATAAAATAAAATAAATAAACAAAATTAACATTAAAAAATTTTTTTTTAATTTTTTTTTCAACATTTTTTATTTATTTTTGGGACAGAGAGAGACAGAGCATGAACGGGCGAGGGGCAGAGAGAGAGGGAGACACAGAATCGGAAACAGGCTCCAGGCTCCGAGCCATCAGCCCAGAGCCTGACGCGGGGCTCGAACTCACGGACCGCGAGATCGTGACCTGGCTGAAGTAGGACGCTTAACCGACTGCGCCACCCAGGCGCCCCTAAAAAAATTTTTTTAATGTAATGGAAGGGTGCCTGGGTGGCTCAGTCAGTTTAGCGTCCGACTTTGGGACTTCAGTTCAGGTCATGATCCCACTGATTGTGATTTCAAGCCCCGCATTGGGCTCTGTGCTGGCAGCTCGGAGCTTAGAGCCTGCTTCAGATTCTGTCTCTGTCTCTCTGTCCCTCCCCTGCTTGTGCTCACGCGTGTGCTCTTTCTCTCTCTCAAATATAAAATAAAAACAACAAAAGAATAAAATGTGATGGAAATCCAGGGCTTCTTTATAAGAATGACCTGCTTTTCCCAAGAAGTGCAAACTAAAAAAACAAAGAGTTAGCACTTTCTGTTTGTAAAAATGAGAAACATATTAAAGAAACAGAATGATCGTATCCTGAGGTGGTGACGTGAACAACAACAACAACAAAAAAACCCAGACACTTGCATAGACTGCTGTTGGAGATACACGTGAAATACAATTGTTTGTTGGGGAAATCTGGTGCTGATATATCAAAAGCTTTCAGGGAAATCTATAGAGAACAAACTGGTGATTATCAAGGGACGTGGATGGGTAGATGGGTGAAATCGACTAAGGGGATTAAGGGCACATTCATCGCGATGAGCACTGAGGAACACATAGAATTGTTGAGTCACTATATTGTCCACTCGAAACTACTATGACACTATATGCTAACAATACTTGAATTAAAAAAAAAACAAAGCTTTTAGGAAGATCTGGTGACAACATATCAAAAGCTTTCAAAGTACACACAGTTTTAGGAGCAAGCCTGATGAGACAATTAGACATGTGCACAACATTTTATGAATAAGGAGGTTCATCACATCATTATTTATGATGTAGAAAGACTTTAAGTATGTAAATGTCCAAGAATGAGGGATTACTTAAAAAATCTGTAAATACAGGCGGGTGGTGGAGTGCTTCCCTGCCATTAAAAGTGACACTGTAAAGTACTCTTTTTGATACGTGTCCCACTCTGGATTTTCTCAAGTGCAAGGGACAGGTACCTCATTTGAACTCATTTAAACAGAAAGGTGATTGATTCAAAGGAAGAGCTGAACAGCCAAGTTTAAGAAGGCAGGATACAGGGCAGTTTGAGGAACGGGGAGGATCTAGAACCAGGACCTCAGATGGCCTCCAAGACTCTTTCTCTTGTCTCGGCTTCCACTCCATTTCTAGCTTCCCATCCTAACAACCTCACCACCCAAGAGAAAAAGATCTTTCCTTCTAAACTTGAGTGTGAAAAATTCCACAGTAGATTTAACTGATCTGGCTTGGATCACATGACTGCCTCTTGGACCAGTCCTCATGGTCAAGTACACCCGAGCGGCAGCAATCGGCCTGCCTTGTGTCAGATAGCTACCCTTAGGGAACAGCTGTGATCAAGGAGGCAATTTGGACCTTCCATGAGAGTAGTGGAGTGGACAGAATAGCACAGTCAGGGCCACTAGGGCAATTGCAGGGAACTGGGGAGCCATTCTAATTTGTCTCCCACAACTGTAGTTGATAATATTATTTGTCAGTGCTTTCCACAGTAGTTGGTCCTAGTGTTTTTGTGAGGTTAAAGAGTACCTTTGTCTTACTTTGTTTCAAGGAAAGGGATTCCTTTTGACTGTGTGGTTGGGAAGGGTCCTGGGATAAAGGGCATTGGGTAGGGTGTGCACTGTCAGAACTGTGTGGATCTATCCCTAGCCACACTGTTTGGGTGGGATCGGACACATGAGCTGCCACCACTGACAAAAGACATCACATCCTGCACAATACTTAGTGGGTAAGAACTGGTCATGGGATACAGCCGTTTATCTGTTACACAGAAATCCACTACAGTATTTCTGAAACATACTGACCTGTAACGAACCAGAAATGAACTCTATCATGCTATCATTAGAGATGCTGTATTTGAACCATATACTTGAGAGAGAAAGAGAAAGGGAAACACACGTGAGCCTTTAAAAATCCAATATTTCGGGACAACTCAGTGGCTCAGTTGGTTAAGCTTCCAACTTCGGCTCAGGTCATGATGGCACAGTTCAGTCAGTTCATGCCCCGCATCAGGCTTTGTGCTGACAGCTCAGAGCCTGGAGCCTCCTTTAGATTCTGTGTCCCCCTTTCTCCCTCTGTCCCTTCCCTGCTCATGCTCTGTCTGTCTGTCTCTCTAAAAAAATAAGTAACACGTTAAAAAATAAGTAAAACATTAAAAAAGAATAAATAAATAAATAACCGGTATTTCAAGATAATAGAGACAAATGACTATGACAAATGATGGTTATTTTAAACATGTTGCCATAGCAGTGAAATTCTCTAATTCTGTTTGAGAATAGCCGACAACACTGCAAGAGGTATTCTGAATTAAACAGCAATGCTGCTTTTACAGATTTTCTTTATTATACGGACAGAGATATCTGTGGATTCTCATCTAATAGAACTGGGGGATTTAGCAAGCAAGTAAAATATGGATTGCAAGTGAACTCACAGATTTCTTTAAATGGGGAAAGTAATAAATGCGTGAAGGTTTGAAAATCAGTTGAAAGAAACTTTAGTTGTTGCTTTTTGTCCATCAAGAGGCAGAACTCCACAGCTCACCTAATTGACCGATGTAACCTAGCTTTCTTTTTGAAAATAACACCACTTATATAATTTCTCATATTGTTAAATTGAGAGAACGGAAATATTTGCCTCTTTAGACTTTCTTTCCAAATATAAATTCTTGTGAACACCTAAACCAGTATTGTGGAGATGTGAGAAACAGAACACGGCAGGGGTGTTGGTCCAGAGACCAACTACTCTTCAAACGCTGGTAGTTCACACACCATTTCATGCCAAGGCTCAAAGAGAAGCAGGAACCAAAAAGCCAGAAAGTCTGAGGCCTTGGTTTTGTAGCTGACGTTTTATATAACCTTATGTAACCTGGTATTTTTGTAACTGAGTTTTTCCCATCAACTTCTGCAGCTCTCTAGAGAAGCTGTCCTCTTATTCTGGCCAATTAACAGAAAGGCAATACCTCAGACCCTTCCAGAATCTTAAGTGGAGATAGAGAAGAATGTGCTCATCAATTTGTGAAAGAGAAATTGGGTGAAATAAAAATGCTCTTTGGGATACATAGCTCTTTAGTCTTTTAAATATTCTCATCAAATCCAGAAATTAGATTAAAAAAAAAATCAATTGTTTCTCCCACAAATCAAATCAACATATCTGTGTAACATAACTTGCAAGCTCAGGGAATTTGAGTTCTAGTTGCTAAATTCTGTGCATGTTTATTTCCAGAATTAAAAACCAAACAACTACAGTAAGTGCCATTTACAAGGGCTCCAGACAAGCATTTTATATGAATAAAATCTATGCATAAAGACTGTATTCAAGCAAGAGAAATACTGCTTCCTGTGCATGTCTTTAGGAAAGGAGATTATTTCATGGCCACCTGTCACTTCTTGGTGTTTGAAATTAGAGCCTGAAATCTTTGGTCTGAAAGTCAAACCTCTTACCAAGTGATTATAACCTGGAAGTCACATTTTAGCATCAGCAAAGTATCTGTCTAGGATTCTAATGTGCTTTAGAATCATATGCCTCAGACACCATAACATTATTTAATAGACAACTGTATCTCAGTTCCTTTGTTTATGTGTAGTTGATCACAAGGCCACAATTAAAATCCCTCAGTCGTTGGGCTCTTGTTTCTTGAATGGCCGAGCAGGGTAACATCAGTCAGCAAGAAAAAAGGAACCTGCAACCGTGTGAGAAAGAAACTGAGAACTTCTTTGCTGGCATCACGTCAGCAATCAGAAGGGGAAGGGAAACCGGTAGGGGTGAATGTTTGCCCACGTTGTAATCGTGAGCTAAAAAATAGAAGTTAAGACAGAAAGTTGCTTTTACAGAGAAAGGACTATCATGGCCTACCCTCTTTCATACATGCTGAAATGTGTGTTTCAAAAGGCTGAAACAGAACATTTCTAATGTCCCCATGCTGCATAACAGGCACACCCAGAGTGTCTTACTGATGTATTGAATCACTCTGCACCTGCAGTGAATTTCTCTCCCTGAGCATCTATGAATGCCCAACTCCCGCACCAGAGATGGTCTAAAGGTGTGGTGACTGGTCATGGGTATCCGTCTACAAGGGCCAAAGCTCCAGTGTCTTCTCCATGACTATCACTACAATCCTTGCTCCACCTCTCCCCAGAGTGAGTGTTAGGTAGGTGAATCTGCACCGCTGGGGTTGCTTTGGTGACGAAAACTCTGCTGCAGCAAAGTGGGCGAAAGAAGAAAGCTGAAGGCTTGCAGCAGGGGACGCATTACTCATCAAAGCTGCCCCTTTAGCTGGAAGGTAGAGGAATGTGACTGCCCAGGATTTTTTTTTCCTGAGTCTTTAAATTGCTCTTTTGCAAGACAACAATTCACATTCTAGTTAGGCATTCATCTCTACCTGGTTAGTCTGATCAGCCAACTCATAGAGCCGTGGGCCTATGCCAATGGCTCACTATTGCGAGGCCCCAGTTCATTTTTATCTGCTCTGTGGGCAGAGATGACACCCTTAGCTACAGCCAGTCACTGTAAAGATTCCAGTCATTGGAATGTTAGAGCAGGGATGAATTCTAGCAATTGTCCGGGTCTCTCTTTTCGCAGATGAGAGACCCGGTCTACCTGCATCCAAAACCTTGTGATTTAATAGGACATATCAGAACCGGGACTGGAATCCCATCTTCATAAATTCTGGTCTAGTGAAAACTGCCTCTCTTAAGAAAGGAGACTCTTCCTAGAAACACCGGGGAAAGTTGACCTTTACATTTTTCTTCACATTTTGAATCAAAGGAGTGACAGTGGAGCTTTAAAGGGCTTTCTTCTGTCACCACACAGTGACATGTTGACAAGAGGCAGAAAAGCAAGCAAGACACAGTCTAACAAGATTACAGTTAGATTTCTTTCGTTTTCCTTGTCTAGGTGCTTCATCATAATTGTTTGCTTCTATAATCACTCATTTATTCTTTCAACAAATATCTGCTATTCTCCTAAGACCAGAAAAGACTGAGTAGTCTATTCAGCACAAATTCCCCACTATGGAATGGAATAACATGGTATAGAGACTGTTGTGAGAAAAGATGATTGGGTCCTCTTCATAGACTAACTTGTTATTTGCTGAGCATTCCCTGCTAAGTAGAAAACTAATAAAGCAAACAGGCGGTAACGTTCTATTTGTTGTTAGCTGGTAGTGATTACATGAGTGCATTCATAGTCTCCTGGTGAAAAATTCATTAAGCTGAACACTTACAATTTGAACACTTTTCTGTATGTAGTTACCCTTCAATAAAACATGTTCAAAACATGCAAACAATAGGAAGCAATTAATAGACACAATCCCAGTTCTCAAGGAGCTCATAATTTTTAATTTTTTTAATGTTTATTTATTTTTGAGAAGGACTAAGAGAGAGAGAGAGAGAGAGAGGAAGAAAACAAGTAGGGGAGGGGCAGAGAGAGAGGGAGACAGAATCTGAAGCAGACTCTGCACTGTCAGCTCAACGCCCAATGTAGGGCTCAAACCCACAAACTGAGATCATGACCTGAGCTGAAGTCAGACGCTCAACAGACTGAGCCACCCAGGCACCCCAAGGAGCACATATTTCAATACAGTTATCCTATGATGCAATAGTCCCCCCTTACCTGTAGTTTTGTTTTCTGCAGTCAACTGTGGTCTGGAAGCAGATGAACCTACTTCTGATCTATCAGAAGTGTAGCGTTAGGCTATGTCACCTTATGTCACTCACCTCACTTCATTTCACCGTACAGGCATTTTATCATCTCATATCATTATAAAAAGAAGGGTGAATATATGGGGCACCTGGGTGGCTCAGTCGGTTAAAAGTCCGACTTCAGCTCAGGTCATGATCTCATGGTCCACGAGTTCGAGCCCCGCGTCAGGCTCTGTGCTGTCAGTTTGGAGCCTGGGGCCTGGTTCAGATTCTGTGTCTCCTTCTCTCTCTGCCCCTCCTCTGCTCACACTCTGTCTTCCTCTGTCTCTCAAAAAATGAATAAACATTTAAAAATATAAAAAAAAGAAGGGTGAATATAGTGCACTGAGATTTTTTGAGAGAGACCACATTCACATAACTTTCATTACTGCACAGTATTATAATTGTTTTATTTTATTATTGTTGTTAATCTCTTACAGTGCCTAATTTATAAATTAAACTTTATCATAGGTATATAGGTATAGGAAAAAATATAATATTTATGGGTTTCAGTACTATCCATGATTTTAGGCATTCACTGGAGATCTTGGAATGCAATTCCCCATAGATAACTGAGGACTACTATATTTATAGAAAACAAAAAAAGAAGTCCTCCTCTTTCATTTACAAAGGAAAGTACTGGAGCCTAGGAAGGTCACATGGCTGGTTTTGGTAGAGGCAGGGGTAGGAGCTGGTTTTCCTGGTTGATATTGTCCCACACTGTACTTCCTCTCTTCACCAGTACGACTTTCTGTTTTAAGGGCCATGTTTGAAGAGGGTCACTCAACAAAATGTATCATTTCATTTCTTCTTTGCCTTATTCTAGTCTTCCTTAACTTTAAGCTGAAATTTTGAGTCTTTATTCTGAAATACTAAACTGTAAATTTCTGAAATTTGATACAGGTACCTCCTTTCGATGAAGTTTATTTGATAGAAACAAAGAAGGTTGCCTCTGTACCCCCAAGTGGGCTGCAAACTTAAACCACTAAGATTCTCTTTCGTCGGAAATGTTTCCTTTTTGACATGTGCACGTCTGAGATTTTTCTTACCATTTCCAAAGTTGACAAAAACCAGTATGTATCAATTAGCCACTTTTGAGGAACCAGTCACACTATTACATACCTTCATTGAGATATCGCTTCCTAAGGACATCTGCCCAATCAACTGTGCCTCCACATCAAGAGTGAGTGGTACCGAGGGGCTCCCGCAGGCATGCCAGTAATTGTGAGAGCAAGTCAGGGGGCATGCCAGTCAGCTGTCTGGAAGGCTTGGTGCACCTCAGACCCATGGCGCCGGTCATCTTCTATGCCATCTCTTGGATCCTCTCTCCCTGACTTAACATTCCAGGGCCATCTCTTCTGGAAACCCTAGGAATACTTCTGAACTCCTAGGGACCCCTAATTATCCCAGAAGCACCTACAGAAGACTAAACACTAGTTTACAGAGCCCACTCTTACTGGGTCCTTTACCTGTACTACTGACCCTTCCTAGCATGGGCTCCTTTTCCTCTCCCCACTTGTTACATGGATATTATCCAAGATCTTATCACCCACTTCCAACACACATTTACATTCGGTAGGCAATCTCTTCCACGGTCTCAACTTCCACTGGTATACCAATGACTCCGTTTTATTTTTACCTCTCGCTAAGGTATCTTTATAGCACCAAACTTCATATTTCTAATAGTCTACTGGAAATCCTCTACAATGGTGTTCCACAGGCCCTTCAAAGTCAGTCTGTACAGAAGTGCCTGTTGTCTTTCCTGCTGAATGATTTCTTTTTCCTGTGTCTCAGTGAGGATACATTATCCAACAGATACACAAGCCAGAAGCCAAGAGCCATAAAATTCTCTTCTCTTCATTGTATCAACCATATTCAATCACTTATCTATTAATTGAATCACTTAGAGGAATTGGTTGCTATTGATTACCTGTTTCATATTTTTTTAAGAATTAAATGAGAAAGTCCATGTAAATCACTTTCCTAGTGCCTGAGTAACAAATATCCAATGAATTATGATTATTACTCCTGTAGTATTATCACCACTATTATAGATGCTTTGATCAGCAAGATGGGTGGGTAGATGGACAGAAAGATAGATGGATAAAAAAAGCGACAGAATTCAGGTATCTGACACTTTACATTCATTACTTATTCATTCAAAATATTTGTAGAATGCTGACACCAGTTCTGATGTGTGGGTTGTTTCTCCACACCAAACAATTTTCTGACACCTGCTGGGTGTCTTCCAATTCAACTTAATTCTGACACTGTCTACCTGGAGATACCATCAGATTCCACGGGTTGAGAGCTCAGTCTTGTAAGACTACTCTCCATTTCAGATGCCAATTTCAAGTTTAGGTTGTTACTTGTGCTCGGACCATCTATTTATAAATCGGAGAGGTTCCTACAACCCCCTCCTTGGGTTCAATTCATTTGCCAGAGTGGCTTGTAGAACTAAGGAAACCAGTTTACTCACTAGATTACTGGTTTGTTACAAAGGATATGAATCAACAGCCAGATGAGATACACAGGGCGAGTCCCTGAATACAGGAACTTATGTCCCTGTTGGAGTCTGGAGTTTAACACAGCAACACATGGACGATTTCTGGTTCACCAACCTGGAAGTTCTCCAAAGCCTATCCTTTTGGGTTTTGGGGGAGGCTTCATTACATAGGCATGGTTGATTAAATCATTGGCCATCAGTGACTGAACTCAATCTCCCATCCCTCTCCCCTCCCAGAAAGTCAGGGTGTGGGTTGGGATTGAATGAGACTGAAAGTTCCAATCCTCTCATTACATGGTGGGCTCCACTGGCAACCAGCCCCCATGCGTAGGTGTTTTCCACAAGTTACTCATTAAACAATAAAAGACATCTTTATCACTCTCATCACAGGAAATTCCAAGGGTTTTAGGAGCTCTGTGTCAGGAACTGGATGAAAACCAAATGTATATTTCTTTTTTTTTTTAACGTTTATTTATTTTTGAGACAGAGAGAGACAGAGCATGAACAGGGGAGGGTCAGAGAGAGAGGGAGACACAGAATCTGAAACAGGCTCCAGGCTCTGAGCTGTCAGCACAAAGCCCGACGCGGGGCTCGAACCCACGGACTGCGAGATCATGACCCGAGCTGAAGTCGGCCGCTTAACCGACTGAGCCAGCCAGGAGCCCCTGTATATTTCTTATTATAAATCACAATGTCACAACTACTATATGCTAGAAACTCTTCTAGGCTTTGGGGACACTAGCGAGCAAAACAAGTATCTACTCTTATGGACCTTACATTTTAGTGAACAGAGACAGGGATTATGCACATACATGAATACACAAATAATGTATCATGCGGGGTAAGTTCTACCAAAAAAATAAAGCAGGATAGGGGAACAAAGGAAGCGGGGGACACTATTTTAGATAGGGAAGTCAGAATAACACCTCTGGTGTAGTAACATTTAAGAGGCATCTGAGCAGGGAGAGAAGTGGAGGGGGATGGCTCTGAGTGTGAGGGTACAAAGTGTATTTCAGGAAACACCAGGAGGCCCGTATGACTGGCATAGAAAGTAGAAAGAAGGGCTCAATGGTGGGGGTGGTGAACTCATCTTATCCTGATAGAATTCTTCAAAGTGTTACTATATTGACCTCACAGATTAGACACTTGAGGCTCATAAATATTCAATTATTTGCCCAACGGCCTTCAAAGTACGTCCACAAAGTAAACTAAGCCTGTTCTATCTGCTGCTTTTCCTCGGTCTTTGCTTTAGTTCAGACCCTCTTCCCGTCTTGCTTGGACTACTGCTCATAGGCTCCTAACTGGCCTTCCTGTTCCCTCTCTTCCGCCTCGAATGCTCCACACCATGCTCAGAATGACTTTCTATGACATAGTTGAGTGTATCACTTCCCTGTTTAAAATCCTCCCATGATTTCCCAACTTCTAGACCAGAGGGTCAGGGTCAACTGCAGAGGTAGGACCAGGCTCGTCTCTGCTGATCTGCTTCCTCTCATGTCCCGTCCACGTGGTCCTCCACCTATTCCAGATCAGGCTTCCTCTTTTCTCTGTGCACTTACAGATGCTGCTTCCTCAGCTTCTAACTCCTTAGTTCCTCTGGGTCTGTCGGGAGAGCCTCACTACACATCCAGGACTCAGCTGAGGGAGCCTCCCCTACATTCTCTCTGCTCCCATCCTTTGTATATATGCCCCATTACAGTTCTGATTACATTGTGACTGCTAGGTCCTCTCTAAAGCCAAGAGAGGCCTGGGCCACTCATCTTATGAGGTCCAAAGATACAGAATATGAAGAAATATGAAGAATTTTTAAAAATGTGCATATTTGAATGCTTACATAACACACACATGCGCACACACACACACTGCTGGAGGCAGATGGACTACACTGAACCTTGGAACAAATGACTCATATGAATGAATGAATGAATGAATGTGTCTTACTTCCCATGTGGAACAAAGAGAATAATATCTCCCTTGGTAAATGGTCAGAATATAGACCACACAGAAGGCACACAAAAGGCTGTCTTTAATTTTTTTTTTTTTTTTATATCCTTGGCATTTCTGCTGAGAGGCCAGTGAACTGGAACATTTTTATTTATCAGGGAAATGAAAGTGGGATTGCTACAAGACCTCATTTCATGGGAGCAACTGTGGCCCCAAGGCCCTCACCTAAGAGGTTTTCCTCAGCTGCTCTTGACAGCTGTCTTGAGGGCTTCTAGCTGCCTGCTCCCATCTGAGTACCACAGGCTCTGGTTCTGAAAGGTGTGGGGTCAAAGGAATAGGGAAATCGACATGTCAGGAAATCTTGGGAGGCCTTCTGGTTTTGCTGCTGGCTTATTTTTTCTTAAGTGGATTTTTCTGGAATATAGGCATACAGTTATGTTATAATTATAAACGTTGAGGACATAAAGCAGCTTGTGTCTTACTTTCCTGAATATAAAAGTCACATGAACGCATTACAGAAAAATGAGATAGTGTAGATAAGTATAAAAATGGAAAATTACCCGGGAAATGGAGACTGAGAGATAGTGAGTTGTCTGAGTTAGACTTTCCACAGGATAAAAGTATCTGACTTAAATCACTTCAAGGCAAATTCTTTGGGGGAAAAAAATAATTTCTATGAAAATAGCAACATAATCATTTTGGGTAGTTACTACATTTCACTTGGGTTCTGAAATTCCTGCGAAGTCTTCACCAACACCACTGAGGAAGTTCTACTTTTTCAAATATAATGTCTAACAATAAAAAAAAATTGGAACGATTGTTTTCTTTCTTTTTCTTTCTGTCCTCTTTCATTTTAAAACTACATGCAAATGCATTTCAAAGTGAAGTATTCTAACCCAGTATAAATAGAGGACATGGAATAAAAGCCTATTTCATTCTGGAGTCGGGCAACAAAATGTCATAACCTTTGCCCTAAGAGTTTGATTTTCAGTAAAATTTCTTTACAGAGTTTTCTAGCAACCAAGTGTTCCGAACGCTGAATGTGGGAAAATTTTACTTGAGGGCAGCACTGCTTTCTAGGATTTGGTCCAAGACATTTAAAGTGAACGTTGAATAGGGCCTTTTAGAATGGTTTCACTGACTCTTGCTTGAGCTGCAACAAAGTCCCCAGAGGCCCACGGCTACATCACATGCTTGTATCACAACCAATGTGGTACAGAAGACCCTCAATACATTTTTGTTGAATTGCACTTAATTGGGCACGCCTTCTATCTTTCATCAAAGAAAGGACTGGAAGACCCCCATATTCTATTTCAAGGCAGTATTTCTAATCCCTAAACAATGTTTCTTTACACATTTTGATGTTTTTCACAATCTCATGCAGGAAGAAATACACCACCAAGTAACAAAGTGTCCCATTCTCTCCCCTCCCCACCCGAGGACCACAGGCAGAGCCAGGGCTTGAGGGAGCTAGAAAGGGCTTGACTGCTGGACTTTTCCATGTGCTACTGTCCTTCTCAGTGGACCTAGACCTATTTCTCACTCTGGCCCTGGTAACTCAGGTGGGGTTTGGAGGCAGGAGTTGAACATTTGGAGTTAACCCCTCTTCTAAATAGCCCCTTTGGTTCTAGCTCCTATGGAAAAAAAAAACAGAGTATCTCTGGCTGGGGTGCGTATATGCAGGAAAGGGAGCAGGCATTTTAAACATACACTCCCATACTGGGATGATCAGCCTTAAACAAGGCATCTAACCTTCTTGAGCCTCAGTCACCTCATATGTTAAGTAGAGATAAGGAAGGTCTACCACAAAGATTACAGAAAGACATTGCAGGAGTTTTAGTAAGTAGCTAGGATGCAAGTTCCCTTTTTATTATATAAAAGTATCCATTACCCATTATCTCACTGTTCAGCATTCATTTGTTGGAACATCTGTTTCCCTTACGAGGCTGTGGGTCCATTTAAGGACA